ATATTCATATAGCAATCTAACAATACATTCCACACACAGTGCTAACTTCTTTCCTTCACTGTATAGTATTTACTAAAACTATTGCGACAAATGTTTATATTAATATTTTGTAATACGATAATTACGAGAAAATACTGCTAAAACCATTACACATAGGCACTTGCTGTGCGTGTGAACATGCAGCAAAGCATGCACATTGGTACGTGTTCACACAATTACTTGTTAACGGCACCCAAAACATGGAAGGCAAAACATGCGACTTTGCTCACTCATTCGCATAAAAACATATGTTCAAAAACACATAAAGCTTGCAGCTGAAACTCCTGCACAAGCTTCTTTGCTGCGTTTGTAGCGCGTAGGGCAGCCCATTAAAATGAATTGGCTGGAACATGGCAGATGCTGCAAAACACGCATAAACGTGACGCATGTTCACAAGCTCTGCAAATGTATACAGGGCCTTAAGGTCACCATACATGTTACAATCTGATTTTACAATCCGTATACTTTATATAGCTTTAGATTTACCAAAATTATGTAATATGACGATATACCTAATCTATCCAATCAACTTGAATCTGATTGGGCAGGCCCTTGCCTCAAATAGCTGCTGCTAGATCTAAAGGAGATTGTAATGTGTGTTGTGAGCTTTAGTCTACCCTTTGCCACCCTTGACTAGGGACATTTTCCTTAACAGTACTTTATACTCTTGCGCTTCTGCACTGCGAGAAAATGACCCGCACCCTCCATAGGTACATATAGGGTTGCTTCTTGGACAGCATTTCCAATTGTTATTGATGGGCTGGTATTTTTTCAGAAAAGGTGGAAACCTTAGGTACACATGAGAGTACCTAGGACAAGAGGTAATGGCAGCAAAAATTATACACAGTCCATGTTGAAAGAGGGGAGGCACTGCAATTGTGGGGGATTTTCCTCATAATTAGGGTAACAGGGTACAAATCATGGCTGACTCCTTGACTTATCTGGAGAGCAGCCCAGGGTGACCCATGTAATGGAGATGAAGACATCTTTGTAGCCCATATCTGGAAAGCAGCTTAGGGTGACCTATGTAAAGGAGATGAAGACGTGTTTGTAGCTCATATCTGGAGAGCATGCCAGGGTGACCCATGCAATGGAGATGAAGACGTATTTGTAGCCCATATCTGGAGAGCATCCTGGGGTTACCCATGAAATGGAGATGCAGACGTGTTTGTAGTACATCTGGAGAGCATCCTAAGGTGTCCCATCCCAGATAGCAAGGATAACTTGCCACAAACTTGTGGCAGGGTTAAGTTGTAATTCTTGTTAACTTGCTGCACACATTCCTGGCAAGTTGTAGACTTGCAGAACATTGCAGCACAAGTTCTAGTTGACACTTTTTGAATTTGTAGCAAATTTGCTTGGCAAGTCTACAGCAAGAGTCCTGCAGGTCTTAGCAAGAGCTTTGCAAGTGTACAGCACTTTTGCAAAGCACGTTGATCTGGGGACTTGCAATGCAGACTTGCTGTAATTGTGCAACAAAATTGTGAAGCTTAGCAAGTCTGCAATACTTTAGCAAGTCATTTTCAAACTTGCAGCTGAATTGTGTGCTATCTGGGATATAACGGAGATGAAGAGAGGAAGATTTGTTTGTAGTCCATTTCTGGGGAGCAGCCTAGGGTGACAAGTTGCTCCTCTATAGATCCAGTGGAGTTAGTGAGTGTAGCCAACCTAGGACATGAAGTGTGTTTGGTAGGATCACCGGGTGAAAATAAAGAAATAAAAACTGAAAACGAATGCAGTCATCACATCTAAGAACTGGCAAGCTGCAATGTATTACATGTTCAATTTTAGGTTTAGCTATGCTTTAACCTAAGTCTACTCCCTTCATGTAAGTACTCCCAGCATATCTGACTTTAGAAAATTGATCACCTATTTATGTAACACCTTGTTTGCTATTAGTGAATGGTGAGATGAACACTCAAGACACGCCCATGTACAAATATTTATCCTGGAAATCGAAGAGTTACAATAAGTTTATCGATAGGAACTCTAAAACTAATAATCATGTGCAATCTCCAGCTCGGTGCACAATGAAGAGTGCTGTATGATGCCACCCTCCCTTCAGGCTCATCTACCCGGGACTGCCTGCCATACCAGGAGCAATCCTTACCTGACAGGCGGCTTATGTCAATGGGACGGAGCTTGTTGGTATAGACCTGGAGCGGGCGTGGTTATGCAGATATCGAGCTAGTGTTCCCTTGTGATTGGAGAGCCCTGGCAGTCTGTGTTTTCCTCTCTTCTTATGATTGGTGTTTACCTGCAATGGGCGTGGCTTCGCGGCCCGGTTGTCCCCCCTAGCTGTCATTTCCTCGGGTGTGCGGACAACATGGCAGGCTGCGGCTCTGGACAGCTCCCGGGGGCCACACCGGACTCCGACTCAGACTCGGATAATGAGGGGCTCCGACCCCTGCTGCAGGTCATCCACAGCGGGCACTTTATGGTCTCCTCGCCCCATAATGACGATAGACATCGGAGGAAAGAAGCAGAGAGCCCGGGCAATGTCCCAGCGAGCAGCATTGACCCCACGCTGACCCGATTATTCGAGTGTATGAGCCTGGCATACAGGTGAGCGATGGCTGTGCCATGCAGGAAGCTGCCAGGGTGTAAATGCTGGCTTGGTTGGTGGCCATGACCTGAAGGTGCGGGCATAGCTGCCAGCTGTCCCTGATTAATGGATTTGTCCCGGGAAGTGTCCCTGGCATCCCAAACTGACCCGTCTGCACTGCAGAGCCCTGTACATGATGAGATCTGTCCGTGGTGAGATTTTTGGGGGTTAATATTTCAAGATCAATAACACCCAAAACTTTTTTTTTTTATAGTTAAAAATAAAGTGGGAAAAGGTTAGGTCTTAAAGGGGAAGTACACCCCTTTTATTATTCTTCTCAGTCCCCTCTTACCTTCATAGTTGGGTAATCCTTCATAAACATAATCAGATGCCCAACAAATCCAGCGCTTTTCTGCAGCAATCCGCTGCTGCACACCCCGTCCCACGCCGCCATCTTCCCCTCTTATATCATTGGGAACTGGCAGCTCTTCCTTGTTCCAGCAGCCAGGCCTCTGATGGCGTGCATGCACTGTGCCACATCAGCAGGAGGGCAGCTGCTAAAACCAGAAGACGACAGCTGGCCCCCTGGTTATGCGGTACATGCGCATTTTTTGTAGATCGCCCAAAAACCCCTGGCATGCGTGACATCGGTATAAGAGGAGGCTGGGGGCAACTCCATTCTGGTGTGCGGGAAAAATGCGGAAGGACAGCAAAGGTAACCTTAAAAAATATATTTATTTTTAAAAAAAATTGATTCTGTTAGAGAGGAGGCAAAACGTATTATTGTGAAATGTGGAGAATGGGGGTGAAGGTCCACTTCAAAGTAGAACTATCATTAAAAAAATGAACGTGACACTAAATTCAGGAGTTAAATCTTAAAAATGCATTCAAGTACCATAAATATTAACAAAAATGTATCTTATTTGTGTATCATTCGACTGTTGACCCTCAAATCATCTCTGAATTGGTGCTGACACTGTCCTTCCTTCTGGAGGGTGGCTACTAATTCCCTATGGTCCCTGTGGAATGCTGAGTAACCACAATCTTTTCAGAAGACGCTTAAGTAGAGTTCAAGATTGTCTTTTCGTAAGATTTGGGCTACTCAAAAGATCTGGTCAGAAGCAGGAGGTAGAAGGTCTGCTTGAATTATAAGTCCATCTGCGCTTACAGTTTTCTCTTAAAGGAGAACTATGAGGTGAGTGCTTTTCACTCACCTCATAGTTCTAGCCGACCTGTGACAATGAGACTGTCACAGGTCGACTCAGTAGATCGGGAGGTGAGCGAACATGTACCGGCGTTCGCTCACCTCTCGATCTGGATTCCCTCGCTGGATTCCCCCCGCTCCGATCCGCCAGCGCTGACTGGCGGAACGGACTGGGGAGGGGGCAGGTACAGCTGGCTCTGCCTCTAGATAGGCAGAGCCAGCTGTCACTCACGCAGCTGGGCGTATCTCGACATCGATGTCGGGATCCGCTCCGGCTGCGGCGTCTCAGTATACCGCGAGCTGAAGCTCGCGGTATACTGAGCTTAGGGTAACGGGAGGAC